TTGGTCCACTTCAAATCTTTGTAATAGCGTATCTTATCTTTCGTGAAATTGGATGGGGAGCTATTACAGGAATGATGACATTTTTATTATGCATACCATTACAGAGTTAGTATTTAAAATAACTAATTATTAAAATATTTTAAGATGTATAATTATAATCATTTCTAACTTTTATGTGAATATTTTTTATCTTTTACTTTTTCAGTGTATCTTGGGAAAAAAGTATCGCGTTTAACTCTTGTGACAGCTCAAAAGATCGATAATAGATTAAGCTTGATGAATCAAATTATAGCTGGAGTAGAAATAATTAAGATGTATGTCTGGGAAATACCATACTCGCTTCTTGTGGAAAAAGCTAGAAAGTAAGGAATAATTCTCATTTATTATATTTTATAAAATAAAATTAATAAATAATTAATCAACCATATTCTTCTTTAGGAAAGAAGTGGATGTACTGAAAAAATATTCGATCGTTGAACAAATTGGTTTAACGTTCGATATCTATGTTCCTCGAGTCTGTTTATTTATTACTATATTAACATATGTTTTACTTGGAAATAATATCGATGCTGAAAAAGTATTTATGACTTCGGCATTTTATACCGTTTTAAAAAGTTCTATGACTATTGGTTTTGCTTTAAGTAAGTTATTTTTTGATCGAAATATATTTTATATATATATATATATTTATATTATGTATTTATTTATTATATATTTATTATATTTTAACAAATAAATTACAAAAAATACAATTAATTGCTTCCTTCGAAAAATGTAATCATAATATTTTGAACTTTATACAGGTGTTCATCAATTAGCGGAAGCATTAGTATCTATCAAGCGTTTGGAGAAATTCATGATGCATCCCGAAATTTCTAAATCACAGAAAATTCAGAACCAAATGGCCTCACAATCTATTCCCATTTACTTAAAAAACGTCACTGCCAGATGGGATGAATCTAGAGAATATGATACTTTACGAAATATTGATCTATCCGTACAAGCTGGTAGTTTCATAGCTGTTATTGGTCAGATAGGTTCAGGAAAAAGTAGTTTATTACAAATTATACTTCGTGAATTGGCATTAAAAGACGGAGTTCTAGAAACTAATGGAAAAATAAGTTTCGCTGATCAACGACCATGGATTTTCGCTTCTTCCATCAGACAGAACATTTTATTTGGACAACCGTGGAACGAAACCCGTTACAACGAAGTAATTCGTGTTTGTCAATTAAAACGCGATATAGATTTGTTTACACATAAAGATAGAACTATGGTTGGAGAAAGGGGGATCAATCTAAGCGGTGGTCAAAGAGCTAGAATTAATTTAGCACGGGCATTATATGCTGATGCCGATATTTATCTTCTAGATGATCCTTTATCAGCGGTCGACACGCATGTCGGTAGTCGCATTGTGGACGAATGTATATGTGGTTTTCTTAAAGACAAAACTCGAATCCTAGTCACTCATCAGATACAGTACTTAAAAGTTGCCGATCAAATAATTGTAATGAACAATGGTAATATTCAAGCAAAAGGTAGCTTTGAAGAACTACAAAATATGAATCTAGATTTTATGAAGATTTTCCAAGAGATCGAAGACAAGCAAGAATCTAACGAAGCTGAAATTAAGACTGAAAAAAGGAAAACAATGGAGGAAATAAAGAAAAGAGAAAATACAGACGCGGCAGACGAACCGGTCGAGGTATTGGAAATGAGAACGGTGGGAAAAATTTCTACTAAAATTTTTTTTGCCTACTGGAAGGCTAGCAAAAATCCATTTTTACTTCTTTTAATGGTGATTTTATTTATATTGAGTCAAATAATGGCTAGCGGTAGTGATTATTTACTCGCGTTTTGGGTAAATTCAGAGGTGGCATCACGAATTTTAAAAGATAATGATACGATGGATTTCAAATGGGTTGGTCCATTGTCTCGTGATGGAATTATTTATCTTTATAGTGGTTTAACTGTGGGCATCGTTTGTATCTATGTGATTCAAACGTTCACTTATTATGGAGTTTGTATGCGATCTTCAAAAAATCTGCACGCACAAATGTTTCGTAGTATTATACGTGCTGCAATGTATTTTTACAACACAAATCCTGCTGGCCGGATATTAAACAGGTATAAATTTTATTATTTAATTTTATCTTATTTACGATAATATCATTGATAATATCGTTTCTGTACTAAGGTTTTCCAAAGACATCGGTATTATTGATAAAAAACTACCTTTTACCATGTTCGATGTTATTATAATGTTCTTAAATTTTATTGGAACCATAGTGATCCTTGGTGAAGTAAATGCTTGGTTGTTGATACCCACGGGCATCATTATACTTCTTTTCTACTATATGCGAGTTGTATACATTTCAACTAGTCGTGCTGTTAAACGTATGGAGGGTATAAGTAAGTAATTACATTATTAATCTCATGAATTTTCCATAAATTGTATTTTTTTAAATATTATCAATATTAATTTATCTGTATTTTACTTCATTTAAATATTATTTTATTATTCTAATTAATTTTATTTACATATAAATAATTTATTAATATTCAATATTTATTTGAATATAATATTTAAAATAATAGCGATATTTTTCAGCCCGATCACCAGTATTTGATCATGTAGGAGCAACTTTACAAGGTTTAACTACAATTAGAGCGTTCAAAGCTGAAAAAATAGTAACAACGGACTTTGATAATCATCAGGATCTTCACAGTTCCACGTGGTACATATTCATCTCCATCTCACGAGCTTTCGGTCTTTATATCGAAACATTTTGTTTGATTTACGTAGCAGTGATCACAATCATGTTTTTGATATTTGATAATCTTGCCACTGCTGGAAATATTGGTTTAGTAATTACACAAATTTCTTCAATCACTGGAATGTTACAATGGGGTATGAGACAAACTGCTGAATTGGAAAATCAAATTACTTCTGTCGAAAGAGTGTTAGAATACAGTAATTTAGAAGAAGAACCATTTTTGGATAGTATACCGGAAAAGAAACCACCAGAAGAATGGCCTACGAAAGGTTTAGTTGAATTTAAAAATGTCAGATTAAAATATGGACCTAAAAGTCCTTATGTTTTAAATGGCATCAATTTTGTGATTAATCCCAAAGAAAAAGTAGGAGTTGTTGGAAGAACTGGTGCTGGAAAGACATCTTTAATTAGTGCTCTCTTTCGATTAGCATATATAGAAGGAGAAATTATTATAGATGGTGTACCTACGGATACAATTGCATTGCATGACTTCCGTTCGAAAATCAGTATTATACCTCAAGAGCCAGTTTTGTTTGGAGGCAGTCTTCGACGAAATTTAGATCCTTTTGATGAATATTCCGACAATACTTTATGGCAAGCTTTACAAGAAGTAGAATTAAAAGAAACGATCTCAGAAATGGCGGCAGGGTTAAACAGCAAAGTATCGGAAGAAGGATCAAATTTTAGTGTTGGACAACGTCAATTATTATGTCTTGTTCGAGCACTCGTTAGAAATAATAAAATTATGGTCCTTGATGAAGCTACTGCTAACGTTGATCCTCAAACTGATTCCTTGATTCAACAAACCGTCAGAAAGAAATTTATAGATTGTACTGTCTTCACTATAGCACATAGATTAAATACTATAATGGATAGTGATAAAATACTTGTGATGAACCAAGGTTATTTAGTAGTAAGTCTTATATTATTTGAAATTTTATATAATGATATTATATAAATAATATTATATTATAAAATATTATTATAAATATTATGTTATTTAAATTATTTTAATTTTCTATGAAGAAATATATTTAAATATATTAGATATAATATTTAATATCATTTTTTTAGGAATTTGATCATCCATATATTTTATTGCAAAAGAAAGGATATTTTTACGATATGGTACAACAAACAGGTATTTCAATGGCAAATAGTTTGACAGAAATAGCAAAGAACGTAAGTGATAAAATATTCCTTAAATATAAGAAAAAAAAAAATAAAGCAAATTAAATAAAAAATATGTTTTTATATTGATGTTTCAGTGTTTTTATAAGAACAAAGAGCCATCATCTTGATGATGGCCCAAATTTTAGCAACGTTCAAGTTAAATAATATTTAAGCAAAAGTCTTTTTGTACGTCCAATTTATATTTTACTATTTCGAACTAATAGCTTTTGCTAAATATATTAAATGTTTTCGACGACACAAATTTTGAACGTATGGTGCTTATAAAGGTATTATCTAAATTAGTTTATTATAATGAAAGTAATAATGATCTTTTATAATAAAAATATAATTTCAATAAAATTCTATGACAATTTTCTTTCCTTTTATTTTCACAAATTCGAATTTAGCATCCTTATAAATTATTAATAAAATATATATATATTTAATATTATAAATTATTAATAATATATATATTTTCTATGTATATTTTTTATATATATTAATTCTTAATGTCTAATAATTTTATCTTTATAAAAGAAAATAAAATAAAAAAAGAGAAGTCTCCTCGTAATGAGCCCTGTTTAGTTAGACAAATTCATCCTTTTCCTCTCCGAAGAAAGGACTACAAAGGACGAAATTTATAATGTCTCAACACATGACTTTTCTTTGACCAATACACTCCTCGTCCTAACTCGAAAAAGGATCTGCCGAAAGCTTCTTCTCCCTGAAAATTCGAGGAAGACGACGAGAGGCTAGTAACGAACTACGCTACGACACTTTCTGTCCAAATGTCCAGGGACTTTCCTCAGAGCAATAGAGAGTCACTGTAGACTCCGATTGTGGCTCCGCGGTGTTGCACGAGGGAACTCCTCGGGAACTACACTATAGAATTCTCTTATAAAGCAATGAAAGTACGAACGACCACTTGCGAGAAAGATATACAGTGGTACTCAACTACAAATATATTTCAAATCGATTTTTTCATTATATTCATTATATAATAATGATAAAAAGGTAAGTAAATAAGAACAAATAAAAATTAAAAAATTATCAGATAACATTTTTTTTATTTTCGAATATTAATATTCACATCAAAATTGAACTTTGTTAAAGTAAAAATTTTAATACATTAAATATTTGTTATATAGATAATAAATATTATAATTCTTGTTTAATACTATTAAGAAATTTGTACCAAAAGTTTGACCAAATGTATAATTAAGTCACATGTAACATATAAAATTGGCGCCATAATAACACACAACGTATCATATTGAATGAGAATAGAAAAAAGATATTTTTGCGTAAGCACCATTTAATTCACGCATCAATAAAATATCACTCGATTAGTACCAAAATGATTACAAAAGAAGTAAAAATGACACGTTGCGAACAGTTATTTTCACGTGATAAAATTCATTATAAAAATATTTGCTATATATTTCAAATTGATCTGAAATTTAAAATCGTACTCAATGACATTTTCTTGTCATTTTATAAAATATGAAAAATATTTTCGATTTTTATATTGAATTTCTATTATGACTGAGAATAATCGAACATGATTTTGTTATCAAAATGATTAAAAGATATACAAAATAGCTAAACAATCTCTCATCCTAAACTTTGATTATTAAAATGAACACAGGCAAACGTGAAATGATCTGTCTTTTCTTGGAATGTGAAATGCGCGATCGTTCGTTGTGCTTTTTCATTATCATCGTCTTGTTAAAAGATTAAAATTAATAATATAGAATTTGATTTTTTTGAGCTTTTGATTTTATTTCTAAGCACATTTTACCCGTGTATATGAAAATCGTTGAGACCGCACAAACTTTTGCTTTCTTCTTTCTTTCTTTTTCTATTGTATATATCATTTTTTATAAATATAATAATAAATTCGTTCTTTTGGACATTGTGGTTCCTCATTGATTTATGATTAATAGGAACTTTTATATCTAAACATTCGTTGTACAATGTTCGCAACGATATTCGTCAAATAAAATATCACAAATTCACGCCGAACATATTAATCAAAGACATTAATATCTTGACCGTATATATAAAATGAATGTTATGTAAAATCTTTAAATTCATAACAAATTTTCATTTATCAAGTTTTATGACAAAAGCCTCTCCCGGAGGTATGGTAAGTTCTTTGAAATATACGTCTTTATTTAATCTGTATGATGGGCCAACTACAACTTGACCACCGTAATAAAGAAAGGATAAATCCTTTATTTGTGACTTGTTACCTAGATTCGCTAAAAAGACATAAGAATTCCGTCTTGGATACCATCTTTCTATTACAATTATTTCATCATCTGCATATCTAAAAAAAAAAATCGTTTCGTAAAAATTTTAATACAAAATCAAAAATTTTTATTTTACTAAATTTTGTTTTTTTAAATATAAAAATCTCAAATGTAGAATTAAACAATTTTTTTATAATATTTAATTTTTATAAATTTATATTACCTAATATCACAGTTCGCCAGCACCTGATTTTCTTTTAGCACCGCTTTTACATAAATTGGTGTTGTTTCTGATCTAAGATTAATCATTTCAGCAATAGTTCCAAACAAACTTGTCTCCAGTGGCTTTGTAGACTCCGGAAGCCAAGCCGTAACACCAATGGACGCAAATTTAATGTCGGAATCGCCGATTCCATCCCAATACATGGGAGGCAAATTGTGCACGTGAGCAAGATCTTTATGATCCTCGCATTCGCAATCCATAATACCTATCTAAATATTAATCAATTAAAATCTATAAAATATTATTAAGTAAATTTTATCATAATACATATATACATATAATGAACCATATTCCATATGATTATTCCTATAAAATAACATACGCTTCTAAATTCCTGGGATCCTTATAACATTTTATATATTACAGTAGTAGATATATTTGTGTTATATTCAATTTGTATACCTCATCACCGTAGAATATATTTGGTGTTCCCGGAAGCATCAACCCTAACAATGTAGCCGATAAAGTAGCATTCTTCACGCTAATGGTAGAAGCAATCCTTTTAGAATCCACGCTACCTATAGACCAGTGTACCCAAGAATAATCAGGTTTCTCGAACAATATACCTTTCGTGACATCCTCTATTTGTCTTTTTATCTCCTTCGTACCATTCGCGATATTTAATGGAATATCTACGAGATCTACTTTCATTAAAATAGAATTTTTTGCCGCAACCGTTTTGGCAGCATTCAAAGCATCTATATGACAAATAAATATTCTTTCAGACCCTAGAATTGATTTCCAATGCATCAAGATGTCCGTAAAGGATTCTTCGTTGACATAATGTTCCAGTCCTTTTAAGTAAAAACCATCGACTCCTCTTTTTAGCCAAACATTAATGGCCGTTGTAACAGAATTATCCGATATATTATTATAATTTTGATATGTGTTAGATCTCTCAAACATTTGGATATTCTGTATTGCTTGTTGCGGCATCGAGGGTATCGTTGGTATTATTTCCTGCAGAATTACGGTATCGGTAACATTTCTTCTTTCATGCACAGCTTTGTCTGTTTTATTTTGTTTTTCAAATGGCGTACTTTCGCTATACAGAGTCTTTATGAAGGGATACAACGGCAAATCTAATATCAGACTCATATTTTGACGATGAATCTCGCGCACAAGCTTAGAAAAATCATCCAATGTTCCTAATTGTTTGTTGAGATCTGTCAAATTTTCTATGTTCCTGTAGTATTCGGGATAATGGGCTGCTGGGAAAATAGAATTTAGACGAATTCCACGCACGCCTAATTTCTTTAAATAGTCCAAACGCATCGTTATGCCTCGAAGATCGCCTATACCATCCCCACCTTTCGAGGAATCTTGAAAAGATGCTGGAAATATTTCGTAGAAGACACTGCCTTGCCACCATTGAACTGCAGGATCACATCTGTTGAGATAAGTATAAATTATTTATATATTTAAAAATATATTGATTTTTTTAGATTTTATTTAGATGTTTTTTTCACAAAAAATCTAATAATTAAATATTGAGAAAGTTTGAACATAATAGATTTGATATTTTAAAAATAAAAATGTAAATTAATACTTACTTTCTTGGCATTGTAGCGATTACACCAATAACCAATGCTGTGCAACCAGCGAGAACTGACATCAGAGACCAGAAACAAGTCTTCCTAATGAGCGGCCAATTCCATTTCATAAAACGATAATCCTTCGATGGTTTTGGTACCATCAATTGAATCCCAACCAAAGGTGGTTTACCGCCATTCTCCTGATTGTAAAACTAAACAGTTACAGTTTATGTTCATAACGATGTTAGGAAGCAGGCAAGCGATTAGTAACATAACATAAAATGGTCGGTTTCCTTCACCATGATCAAAATGCCCAATTATGCGATACCAGTCTTCTTCTGGTTTGTAATATTGCCATTAGCATGATTGTGCATTGATATTGAAATACAAAAAATACAAATCATAGTAGAATAATTATTTGGGTCATTCTAAAGAAGTATTTTCAATACTCCATATTGCCGTATCAACGATTCTTTTGTTTCAAATTTTCATTTCACTGAGATATAAATTTCAAAATTATTATTATTATTATTGTTAAGGGGAATGCGATATTGATGAATGTATAAATGTGCAAATAAGAAATATAAATGATAATAATGATCAAATAAACTGTCCTACTGTTTATAAATAATCCACTTAACATAATTTACATTAATATATGTTAGCCTATTTATACAAAACTGTTGAAATTCTATGATTTATATTAACGTATATATTACCCTATTCATACGAAACTGTTAAGGATTCTAAATTTTTAATAATACCGACAAATGTCGTAAATGATTTCTAAATAGTTCGTTTCTATGATTCAAAGTCATTAAATAACATTATACATGCCAAAACTAATGCAATATCTGAATAGTTTGTTTCATAATCAAAAATAAAGTAATTAAGACATCAAGAAATTTTTGAATTCATTACACAAAAAAAAAATTATAGAATTTCAATCTACAATTACATTCAAATTGAATGGGACTATCATTTATTAGAAGATATTAATGATGATCTCTAAACATATAATTACGTCATTTATTTTTTATTACTTTAAAGATTTATTAAACGAATGGATATATTGCGACAAGAATATTGCGTTAGCGATATTTGGCAAAGAATTCCTCTTATGTGCCAAACTGACCAAACATTTTAAATGCAGAACTTGTATGTTCATTTTTCAATTCATACAATTTATTTTTATTTAATTCTAACAAGTAAAATAAAGATATATTTAATTGGTTTTAAATATTAAAAAAGTTTTTCTTTAAATTTAATTATAATATTTTTATTATAATTTTTTAATATATCAGGAATAGTAAAGTGATTAAATATAATAAAGTATAACTTCCAAGAAATTATATAATCTAGATAGCTTCATACGATACATAAAAAAAAATTATATTAATTTGTATGAAATAGAAAATATCTATCATTAGAATCTTTATCAAAGAATTATATTGATAAGATTAAATGAAATTATTAATAAATTAATAAAAAATATAATAAAATTATATAATAACTGATAACTGCATAATCAATAAAAAAAATTATATCTTACTAAATACTAAATTCTAAATAAAATGAAACCTGGAAAAAAAATAGGTATAAAAGTAAACTTGAATAAAAAGTCTAAGAGAGTAAGTTCCTCTTCTTTCATGAGTGAGCTATCATATTCAGTGAAGAAGAGTATCAATTTTCATATCACTTAAGCATATTAAAGGGCTTACAGTATTAATTTCGCTAACCATATTAATTTATGGTGTCTATAATCCTACAACAGAAACCAATATTTTTTAATTATTTTATAAAATAATTCTATAAATTAATTTTTTAATTTTAAAAATTGTATAATGATAAAAATAAATGATAAAACTAATATTTTATGATTATGAAAATCATGTAAAATCTAAATAAAATTTTTCTTATTCCATTCTTTAATCCTTTTTTTTTATTTATATATTACTTCATATATTCATATATTCATATATTATGAAAGTAAATTATAAATAATTCAATAAATCTATTTTTAATTTGTACTATTATTATCTTCTCAATAGTGGATTAATAATTGTAATGAATCAATGAAAACATGCTTAATCACGATAACATTTCGTAATTAAAGATGTATAGAATGAAGGTGTATCAAAAATAAAAATATGAAATGCGTAGATGCAATTGAACTTGACATAATTAGAACGAAGATAGAACAGGTGATCGGCCGTGATCAAAACAAAGCGTGCATTAGCAGACAAATTACAAAAGTGAAGATAATCATTAACGAATATACAATAATATACACAATTCTTCTGTTATTTGGACATTATATAGAATATAATAAGTTAATAATGATATAATTTCGTCATTTTTATTATTTTCTATTAAATTTTTTTATTAAAAAACATGTATCCATATTATTCATAAACAGGATATATAGAAACTTAGCATTTTATCAAAATACAATCCATAAATATACAAAAAGCGTATAGCTATTTGCAACATATACTCAAATAATATAATTAACTCTGCTGGCTCGATGTCGTATTTCAACACGTTCATCTTTTCATGTATTCAGTGGCACGTGAGAATTGTTAGATCCTTTTATGTAATTAAGAAACTCTCGAAAATGGCGAAATTTAGATATGATTATATGTGAAATTTTTTTTTTTTATAAATTAATATGAATTATTAAAGTGAATATTTACATGAAAAAATTTAAATCGAGCCATAGAGGATTAAAAAAAAACAATTTCATAAATATTATTATTTCTGATGTAATCAAAGTTATTGCTGGTGAAACAAATGCAGCGAGATATGCATAAAACTAAAAACTAGATGTAAGATCTTAAAATAATTACAACACATACTTATTTGCTTAATAAAAATCTGTAACTTTTTCAAATTTACGCATTAATATTTTAAAAAAAACTTCATATAAAATTTAATAAAACCAAATTATTAAAACCAAAAATTATAATCCAAAATATACTAAATAATAAAAAGAGAAATTTTTAATTTTTAAAGTAGATAATATTCGTCAAATAAAAATTCTAATAAATATAAATCGAAAAATTAATATTTTCAAGATTATAAACAATATTTTATTTTAGTTACATCAAAGATTTGTTAATTTGAGTAATACCTAAGAACAATAGATTTATTCAAAAAACAGAATTTGCTTATCATTATCTTATATGATGAGAACTATTTTAATAAATATATCCTTAATATTTACAATCTAAAGAATTTGCACTCAATGCTTACATTTTGCATAATCTCGCTATATCTGTTGCATCAGGTTCATCTTATCATTTCCCAGTATCATTACAAAAAATTTCATTAATGACAAAAATTTATTGAATGCTTACTAATGCTTGAGCATCAGGAGCAAGGTGTTGATAAGCTGTGTTCAACTGCGTTAGTAATTGTGCACAAACGGGCCCATTTGTGTCGCTGCTGCTTCCACTGGTCGTCGATTCCACCATTGGATCCCGTGAACTTGGTTCTGCAATTAATTAACGATCAAATAAAATAGTGTACGTGTTTTTCAATGCGTGCAATTGTTTGAATCGTGTATCAAAATTAAAAAGCTTTTGTCTTTGCACTTGTTCCACAATTGTTCGAGTCTATCAATCCATCAACAATAAGCATTCATTTTACTCTGAGCACGAGACACGCTTCGAGAATCGAGACATCGTTAAGATCAATAAAATTCGTCACTCCAATTGAAGCCAAAACCCATTAAAGCATTTTATCGTTTAAGTGCCGTGCATATTAACGCGACGCCATTATGTAAGAGTTGATGATGATTGAAGTACTACACGATTCGCGCCACTTGATGAAAAGGAGTGTGAATTTGTGTTGTTTTATTGCGTGCACAGAGTTAAATATTATTATTTTTAATTGGAGGAGGAACAGTGGTGAATTTTAGTTTGCTGATGTGCAACTCGTAATTCTTATTATTACGCTTCTGGCCATCTCAAATTAGCACCATCTATCTAAAAATTTTAATGTTTTAATCATATAGAATTTATATTGTATAAAGAAGAAATCGTTTTTAATGCATTATTAATTTATTAATAGGTATTTATCTTTAAAAAATGCAAAAATTTATCAATAATTGTAATTAGATACTCATTGCTATGCAATTGATAATAATGTTTTAACTTTTATCTCATAGAAATAAAAAAAAAATTAATTAAATATCAATCATGATATCAGATTTGATAAAAAATTTTTTCTTTCTAAATAGTAAAGATAAATAATCTTTTGAAAAATTCAATATTTATTATATGTATATTTAATATCGATAAAAATTGAAAATCAATGTATCTATTAATTTTTTTTAAATCAACAAAAAGAATCAATTAGATTTTTATTTTTAATCAAATTGAATATACATTTAATTATATTATTTTAATTATTGAAGAAGAAAAATAAATTAAATTCATAAAATTAATAAAATTTGAAACTGCATATAAAATAGTTACATACATTTGTAAGAACATCTAAATTAAACATTTTACTTGAGAAAGATACACATATCGTGAATTTTTTTTAACGAAAATTTATAATCAAAAATAGTTATCATTCACATTATCACTTCGTGTATAATCATTTTTTAAACAATTTTTTAAAACAAAATATATTGATTTCATTTTTCTTTTTTATTTGAAATATTAAAAATAAGTTTCAATTTTAAAATAAAACTTAGAAAATTAATTTTTCAATTTTAATAATTTTAATTAGAATATATTAATTTGAAAGTTAATTTTAATTTCTTACATAGATATAAATTATTCAAAACATATGAATAATATCATAATCTCTTATATAGAATTATTTTAATTTAGAATAAACAATACATATTAGTAATTTTTTATTGATATAAAAAATGTATATTCTTTTTAAATACAAAATAATATAAAATTTCTTAAATCATGACATTTAAGAATTCATTCATTATTCATGACATTTCATAAATTCATCAATTTATTTTAATTTTCATTTATTATCATTCTAAATCCTTGAATGTAATTATTTTGACCATTCATTCTTACGGTAATTCTTATTATAGTATTTTTAGTCTTTAGACTCTGATACTGAATAAACTAACTCTTCGTATTCTTCTTGTACACAAAAGTTATGACTCATGAAATGATTATATATGAATTTTAATTCGTATGAAATATGATAGAATATGAAGAAGATAGAAATTTATTTAATCAGTATATTTTATTACAAATCCTTTATAATATTGCTTAAAATCATTGTTCAAATTTCTTATAAATTAATATTAATTTATCAGAAAATTTTAAATAAATAAAATATTGTTTTGTAAATTCTCATTTTTTATATAATATTATATATTTATATGATTAGATTTTTATACCATATATAATACATTTCCAAAGTACATTTAAAAAAAAAGTTAATAATTTAACATTAAAAAATAAAAATAAAAAATTATTAATATATATAAATAAACAAAACGATACTTAATAATTCCTTAAAAAAACATAAGATTAAAAACATCATATTTAAGATATAGAATTGTAATACAACAAGAAAGACAAAATCTTAAAAAAACAATATGTTAAAAATGCATATGATTAATTTAAAATATACCAACTATATTGAAGGAAACCTACCATCATTCAGCGTTCTGCTTGAGCTGTTCACTATGTTCATGAACTCATTAAGGCCGTCCTCTTTATTAATGTTTTCAAGTGTTGGCGGTGGAATCGATTCCACGGGATTTCCTTCCAGAGAGACGAAGATCGCGCTTGATTCCAAAGCATTGTTCACTTGAGTGATCGGCGGACTAGGAGTTAAAAGTGGACAATCCGACGCCTCTTCATCCTAGCAAACGACGTATCCAATTTGCATTATATCGTTATTCGAGGAAATTTTTTTTTTCTTCGGATTTTCTTCATTTTAAAATATATGTATGTATTCTTTTTTGAAAAATAAAACAACAAAATAAATATTATAAATATTTAATTTAATATACGAAACCAGAGCAATAAAAGTAATTATATTGGATATATAATCGAAAGAATAGAATAAGTACGATAAATTATACATAAGTTTAAATAGCAGTTTTAAATTTGTATTTAATAAATTATAAGACATTAAATATCTATTGATAAATAATTTTTTTAATATTTATGTATTCTGTGATAATGATTTTGTTAATATTTCTTTTTAGATTGATTAGATTGTATTAAATAAGTATTAAATAAATATGATGATAATAATAATAATATAATAAAATAATGATACTTGTTAATGCTATTTTTTATCTGTTATGTTATCTATTATTTATTTTGTTTGGTATTATTTGTAGTTTATAGTTCATAATTTAAAGACAATATTTTTTTCATTTTTTATCATTTTATTATATTTATAATATATAATATCTGAACTTTAATTTTCATATTTAATTAATCTTAATTGCCTTCATAATTTAATTAAATTTCATGTTATTCAATTGTATATATATGTTTATATCTTTTAAATTAGATTGACATTAGATTGAGAAACATAAATAAATGATCTTGAGAATCATCTGAAGAAATGAGCTTATAATATTTACATAAATATTTAATATTTTACACAGAAAGATTGAAATTATCCATGCTATAAAAATTATATGCACTATATTAAAAATTAAACAACAAATTAGTAAAAATATTTTAAATTTCATTATTCATCATTTTTATAATCTTCAGTATAATTTAATTAACATTAAAGCAGAATTTATTCATTTATTCAAATTTATTCTTTATTAATAAATAAATGATACGTTTGCTTATTTTCATGTAAATAAAAATTTGAATTTTATAAATCCGAATTATTATTAAATGAAAAATATTTTATATATAATTATTTATAAATTATATTCAATTGTATATATTTTTTAACTCAATTTAAAATAACTAATATTATAACTCAATATTATCTGCTTATCATTTCTATCGCTTATCTGAAATCAATGTCAATATCTAAACATATCTTTTATAAAAGAAAATAAAAAGACATAATAAATTATTAATTTATAAATTTATGTTATATATTATAAAGTTTTAGAAAAACATATATAATTTTAAAAAAAGCATTTGAATTATTTTATCTGATCAAGATTAATGTAAGTAAAGTATTATATTTATAAATTAGTTATAATATAATATTAATATAATTATAGCAATAAAAAAAGTTTATATCTCATGATTTATATGATGATATATTAAAAAAATTTTGAAAGCTGTTAGGATGTTAACATCATATGCTATTAAATGTATGAATAAAATGTATGAATAAAATACAAAAAAAACAAAAGAATGAAAGACAAAAGCTACGTTATTTATATCGAACACACCTGTTGGTCTTGATTTATAATGAGTTGTCGCGAACTCGGTGAAGACGCAAGTTCAGTTGGTAAAACCACAGATAGAAGACCCTCAGGCTTCTGGATATTCATCTCTGGACAAATATAGAAAAATCTAATTGCTTTGTCATGTCGATTATTTTGAACATCAAAGTAAGCGAATTTATATCAGAGTTAGTTCATTAAATTTGTTAAAAAAAAAAATATATCAAAACACTGGTTTTGCTCATCAGAAACTTTATTTGTTTCGATTCAATATTTCACTATTCAATAATCCATAATTTTCTTTTTTTATAATTTTATTTTTCACGATCTTACCTCTATTTGAACTTTTTTCTTATTGAATATCTGTATTAAGACCGGATTAAAATAGTTATGTAAGAAGATTGGAAACAAAAAAATAGCCACGTGGCATTATTATTTGCTCAAGTTTTTGCCCGACTGCATTTAATGAGCGAAATTATGACTGAACGTTCTCTGCTGAAATACGATCTTATGGATGTATTCATGAGAATGGCATACGAGTTGCACACAGGTTAGTATATGTCATATAATACGTTCGAACAAAACGCAATCCAAACGGTCGTCATATTTACGAACTGTAAGCTGATTGTAAGTACGACGACGACTATTGATCGAAAAATTCTATGAACTACGCGTTTGGCCAAGCTGCGATTTTCTCCCCTAATCCATTAAACAGGATCGTTGAAAAGGGCTGTATAAATGATTCTTGGGATTCGTCATTGTTTCGTTCCCGCGTTATCCAAATGGACAATTCGTTATTACGTCATATCTCAACGATGCGTTAGATCAGGTTAGATCACCAAGAAAAAATTTATGATTATGGTTATATTATTATATGACTGAATGTATGTATATAAATGCGATATTAGATATTTATTAATTATAATTGAATAATTTTATGAAATATATATATGTTATAAGAATGAATAAGAACAAGTATTCAGAGATTTTTGATGAATTGAAGAAATTGAAAAATATGTGCGCACTTCTCAATTATCGCTTTTATGCGCATATAAATATACCTAGTAAACAAGAATGTATGAAAAAATCTATTAAAACAAGATGCAATTGATTGTATAATATATTCAAACAATATATTAATTCATTTATATTTTTGAATAAAAGGAACAAATAACAGAATTGTCGATTTTGCGCTAATTTGATTTAAAACGAATATACTAATTATAAAATAAACATTTATGTACACATAAGGCTTATATTTGTTTTGTAAATAAATTATTATTACGAATAAATTCTAATATTAATTATAAATAAATCTCAAAGAACTTTTTATAATAGTTATATTATTATTATTAATTGTATTATTAATAATACAATAATTAAAAAAACAAAAAGACAAAAAATGAATATATAAATTTCAACGAAATATTGTTTAAATATTTAGCAATGATTGCAGTTAAGTTTAAAAAAGAAAAAAAATTATTATTCTATCACACATATTTTACATCAGGTATGATCATATTTGCCATAATGAGATAATGTAGATCATTTAAAATGTCAGTATTAAGATAACGATTAATTTTACATTACCTAATATTGATAAAAATTATAATTTATTCGAAACAATAGCTTACCTATAATTCAGTTGGTTATCACGTGACAAAGACGACATCGGCAGAAAACCTAAAACACATAGGTATAAGAACCGTTCTCAAGGAAGCTTAACCCCTAAAAAATCACGAAACTAATAAAAGATTTTCTTTAAAACAAATTGTATCTTAATTTATTCGTTTCATCACAACTATTCACTTTTCTATGTTGCGATTTCCGTTGTAAAGAACCTACCAATAAAACAACAATAACAATAAAATCACTATCGAGGACAATGTTTGTGCTTTTGAATGTTGAAGACCATCTTGCAGTCCCCAGCCGTAAGAGAATCGCGTACCTTCGCGTATTATATTTAGCAACTCCGTTTCGTTCCGTTTTATCCCGTCGTGTCTCGCCTTTCTGATCGAGACATTCGCGCCCTCCTCGAGCCTGCGCGCTTGTCGATGTAATCCATCATATCAACTGTGACGATTAGAAGCTCAATAACCTTGATAATCCTAATTATATCGATGTTAATAACAATAATTATTATTACAATAAGATTATTTCAAAGTGTTAATTTAAAAAGCAAACATCGCTTAAAATATTAAAAACAATCATTTAAAATATTGTATTATCATAAAAAGTTAAACTATAAACTAAGCTATAAAAATCATGCTATTATATATATAAATTACTTCAAATTAATAATAATCATGATTATTACAATATTACATATATATTGTAATAATTGTATTAACATTTCTTTTTATTGCCCCTTTCAGGATGTTAACATTCATTCATATGTGTTTAATATGATGGTAATATCATATTTGATAATATCGATTGAATTTCATTTCGATGGCAGCACAAACAATATAATATTAGCGCCATCTTTCAAATACTATAAACATCTTTTTAAAAATACTTAAGAAATGGCGCTGATTCTCAATTCTTATTCTACTTTATCTTATCTTTGAAGAGATGTCTGTGATATTTAAAAGATGACACTGATAGTTAATTCTTACACTATTTGTATTTCTATCCTTTTTTCTATGATATATTCTCTTTGTCTATTTTGTTTCATTTGCGGCACTCGAGAGATGGCGTTGATTTAGTAATTTTTATTCTATCGCTGTCCTTTTTCCACATTTTGATTTTATTTATATTTGCAAAATATATGTATTTATCACGCCAATATGTGATTATTAATTATATTATTCGTAAAATATAATTTAATACATATAAAGCATTTTAATGAATTTTATGAAAGAATATATTAAAGAATTTATTTTTTAAAATGTTAATTGACTCTAAATTCTTGACTCTGCCAACTTTAGTGATTAAATATAATTTCTGCATTCACTACTTTATTTTAAGTTGTAAACTATAGAGGGCACACGAAACATTCTAATTTTTTACTCGATTGATATTTCAGAACATTGGACACAAGTTGAGGTACAAGATGTAAGTTTTAAACTTATTTATTATATTTCTTATCAATGATGATCTTTATGTGATTTTATGTTTTATCATTTTCCTTATATTATTCTTTTAATATTTTTTATTATTTCTATATTTGATAATATTGCAAAAAATATGAAAAAAAATTATATGTCACGTGTACATCCACATTCTGTACACCTTTTATCAAAAAATAAATAAAAATAAAAAGTACTCTATTTCAAATTTAAATTATATTTTACAATCTCTCAAGTTTGTATCTTATTTGTAAATTTATTCTGTAATATCATATATCTCTGATATAAAAGCACATAATTACATAATTTTGCATTCATATTTTTTAATTGCTTGATATTATAATCTAATTCTAGACTAAATCCACGACTAAATCGATAACATAATATACTAAAGTGATAATGAAACTTGATAAAGCTTAATAAAGTACTTACATCACATGGTATTTATACTGGTATTTGTTTTTATAGAATATACTTCTATATAGTTCTATATACTTATATTTTTTATAAAATATTTAATTCAACATTATAACAATATATTTGCATATTAAATAAATAAAAAATTATCGAAATATAATTTATAATTTTTCAACTAAAAAAATTAATATTATTAAGTTTATTATTATTATACATTATTTTTGAATAAATTATTTATATATTTCATAATAGTTATTACAGTCACAAAAATAATAATAATGCTTTATATACATTATTATGAACAAAAAAACATGTTTAATTGATTTATATTAATATATATTAAATAATAATTTATATTATTTTTTTAACTATTATATTTATTTAAATATATTTAAATTCTTAAATAATCCATTATAAACTTTACTTTTAATATCGTGATAACAAGCTTATCTTTAAATTATATATTGTTATGTAAAATATACATTATACAGAACTTGCTATAGTATTGTATATAAATCTTTAATCAATACAATTCAAACTTTGAATAGTAAAGTCAAAATCACAATTATTAATATTATTTATTTATTTATCAATAAATAATTTTATAATTTTTTTTCAATATCTATTTTTCGTATCTACTTTTTATTTTAATTTAAAAATACTTTATAATAAAATGTAATTATACATCCTATATTAAATTATGTATAAACAGTATAACAGAATTTTTTATTGAAAATATTATTTGAAAATAAATTTTCGTAATTAAATTCAATTTAAAATAATATTTAACGAATTTGTTTTAATATATTGTTTGTATTAAAAAATTAAATAAATTTATATTTTTTGATAAATATTTAATAAATTTTATTAAACATTATTATATTACATTATTTAAATAAAAAAATGTTGAGAACACATGTGAATTGGGAAATATATCATATAATCTAATATATATATATAAAAGGAAATTAATCTTGATAATCTTGATCAATTCTTGCAGTGTCATTCAGATATTATCGCTTGCTATTATAGATTTGCTAAAAATACAGATTTTTATGAACAAATACATGAATTTTAAACATAATATTTCGAAAGGAATTAAGTGCATTTGAATATTACTGCTTTTTATAAATGAAATCATCTGGTATATTTGTGTGTTATGTCATTTTTAATAATTCATATATTATGTCATTCATTTTAAAAATAATATTTGATAAAAATGAAATTATTATTTTTTTCATTTTTTATTGTTTTAATGTTACATTACAAATATTTTATATAGTTAGTCTAAGAGAATAATAAAAACTAATGTATGTAAATGTATTAATCGATTTCTTTGAGACAGTATTCTATGTACTATAATATATAATAGCTAAGGTTACTTGTTTATAAGAATATTACTGAGAAAGCTTTCTAATACTGTTCATTCTATGAATGTGATCAATGTTTTATAATGTTTCAAAATTATGAAAATATAAAATATATCTTTATATATCTTTAAATAAAGTATTTTAATTTTAAAGATTTTTTTTTTATAATCTACAAAATATTAAATTAATTATTTATTACGTAAATATTATTCTACAATGTCGAAATATATGTAATATCTTATCGTTAATAAAAAAAATTATTTAATGATAAATATTGTATCTCAATAAGACAAATGTTTAACAGAATAAAAAATATAAAAAATATATTTAATTGCGTAATATTTTGCAATTTTGTATATATATATATCTATAACTGTAAAAAATGAATATACATACATGAAAACTAATATTCTTCGAAATTGTGTACACTATGTCATTATGATATAAGTCGTAATTAGGAAGTACAATACAATTTAAGCATTCGGAAATATTCGGAAATGATCTTTGAGTTTTTCGATGAACCGCGAAATATACACCTCACTTTACCTTCGCCATACTTGCATCGAGTGACATCATTCTATGGAACCCAAATTTAAGAAAGAGAAAGAAAGTAAACGTGAAGGAGAACACGTTCACTACGTAAAGCGTAAGTCAGAGAAGGAAGAATAGAACTACTGAGGATTCAGAGCACAGCGCTCAGTCGTTAACGAAGCATCGAAATTGTTGGTTCGGTAGTACTTGTGGACAAGCTTAGAACGTAATTCCTAAAATAAATAAAAATGGTTTACCAAATTAAGAATGCCGTAAGTAATTAATAATATATTTATTATAAAGTTTCATTGTATTTATAAATAAAAGAAATACACATACATATTTGATTCATATATGTTGAATAGTCATATTAATTTTTTAATAAAAAAAGAGTTAAAATTATATTTTTAGTTTATAATGGAATTTATTAAATTTATCATATTTATGAAATAATTGACCTTGAAATAATCGATTTCATCTTGCTTAGTTCAGTAACGAAGTTTCCTTATAATATGACGAAAAAATTTCGATCCGAAGCATGAACTATTGCGTGAAGTACTTGCAATCATAGAATTATTTCGATATTCATTTATTTATTTTAAATATATAAAATACATATACGTGATAAATATTTTAGAGCATAGTGTTCATTTAATATTACGTCAATCACAAACAATTCCAATTATCACATAATATAGTTTGTAATATTGAATTCATTGTATCTATAAGGTATGCGATTCAAGCATGCTTCCATGATAGATAAATTTTATGGGCGGGACAATTTAACATGACATTAATTTGTTTATTAATTTTAAATTATTTAATTGATTGTTATAAATTATTTCATATAGAATCATATTAAATAAATATTATTTTTTTATTAACTTGTATATTTTTGAGAAAAATTTATAATAAGTTTAAAAAATCGTGAATTAATAAAAAGTATATAAAAAATATATTTTTATATTTTTCTTATTCTAAATAATTTAGTTTATATTTTTATAATTTTAATAATATATACTTTTATTATAAAATATCTGTTTTTTTACTTTACTTATATCAAATAAATGATAACCAGAAGTAGATAACTATATTTAGGACAAATATAAAACTGATATAAAATCATTATATATATAACAGTATAATTTATTATATTTAACTATTTTCATCAATTATGATAATAAAATATACTAAAACGTAATGGTATTTAAAAATTTAATCAATATTTAATATTTATATTAACATGAATATTATATAATTAATAATATTAATATTTACTTATATTATCTTTACAGAGTGATTTAAAAAATCAGCTTGAAAAAGCTGGAGATCAATTGGTTGTAATTGATTTCTTTGCTATGTGGTGTGGTCCATGCAAAATGATTGGACCTAAAGTAGAAGAGTTATCAATGGTTAGATAGTATTTTATTTTATATAAAAAGATTTTTATTAAATAATTTTTATAGTTAATTTTTATATCTTTTTATAATAGGAATGGAAGATGTTATTTTTTTGAAAGTTGATGTAGATGAATGCGAAGATATTGCTGGTGAATACGAAATTACCAGTATGCCTACCTTGTTTTCATCAAAAACAGCAAAGTGGTATGTATCATTTTAAATTAATATAAATTTCATACAAGTAAAGAAAATAATTAAGAATTAATAATTCAATACAATTTTATGTTTTAGCTGGAAAACTTTTCTGGTGCTAATTATGATAAACTTAAAAGCACAATTCAGAAGCACAAATAAATAAATAATTTTAATAATAAAAATATTTTTAAACAGAATTATCTATTAATTAATATTAATCAACAAAAATGATTAGCAAAAACTTCTTATACTCTTATACTCTTACCTCTCTTACTTATTAAAAATAAAGCCATTTATTATTTGCAAAATAAAGGTAAAAAAATATATAAATTTCTATTAATACATTGTCAATTTTATTATACATATTTTGTTTGCAAAATAAAATATAATCAGCTTATAAAAATATGCATCAATATTTTTTATCTTATTATCTAATAATGTAAAAAATTAATTATTAAATTTATTTATATATTTATATAATTGCATATAATTATAACTAGTACATTATTAAATATAGGATTATTGATATTTAATACATTTATACAATTGCACCGTTCTCTTGTTTATGTATTTTCACTAATAATGAACATATTCCAGTACCAGATTTGCAAGGTTGACCTAACATTAATCGACTAGAAGGAGATTCCAAATTATCTCGTTTTCCTATAAATAAAAAGTATGAAATACGTAATTTTCTAATTAGTAAATAATTTCAACAATTTATTTTTTTTTTTACCTTGTAAAGCTGCATTTTTTAAGAAATTAAGTGAACTTTCAAAACTCATTTGTTGTAAAGGAGATGCTGCTTCTTCCATTCCTTTACGACTAAGAGGTTGAAATCTACCATCAAAAGTCATATAATCTGCAATTAAAGACAGATGTCTAGAATCAACTGTAATTCCATACATCTTGAATACATCTCTCACTTCTTTTATAATAACTCTGTTAGCAGCTTCAATACCATATGTTTGAGAAATACTATAAATATCATTAGAATATAATTGGTTCAAATTTAAAGATTTATCATATTTAAACATTTCCTATATTAAAAAAAATATATAAGTAAAAATAATATATAATATATAAAATTATGATTAATATAAAAATTTTTTACTTACTATGATATTAATACCATCAGTTTTAAGAATTGTTTCTCCATTATTACTTTGAAATGTAAAAGCACGTTTTATACAAGGTACTTCCCATAAAATAACTCTATTTGCAACATTTTTAATTATTGTTGGTAAATCTAATTTTAACATTTTAAGAGGTAACTGAAAAGTTATTATTATTATAAATATTAATATAATTATTTATATTATAATTTAAGAAAATATATTTATAGATTAGATTAAATTTAAATAATATAAATATATATATAATATATAATTTCTTATTTACCCAAAATGTTAATTTACACCATGTAAATTTTTCCTCATCATAATCATATTCTAATGCATGAACATACATATTTCTAATATTCTTCTTTCTTTGTATATTATATATTTCATTTGTAATACATTCTGATTTCTCATTTTCTATGTCATCATCTTGATCTTCATTTTGTTCTGGGACTTCAATTCTTAATTTTTCTGTTTCGTTTTCTATAATATCATCTTCTTTTTCATTTATGTCTTCCATTTCCTCTTCTTCTGGATCTTCATATTCTTGATTTTCTCTATGACGTGAAATTGTTCGTATTAAAGTTGCATCTGCATCCTCTGCTGCTGCTTCTTCATCAGAAGATTCATGCATTTCTCCTAAATTTGTTTGTGGTTTCAATATAGATTCTGTTCCTTGATCAGGTTCTATTTGATCTAATAAAACATCATCTTCATATAGAGATTTTTTTTCTTCTTCAACATGTAATAAAGCACCTGTTATTTTAGCAACTTTTTTAATTTCTTTAAATATTTCTTTGAAAAATACTTCTTCAGTTTTTTTTAATACTTCATGTGGTTGAACACAAAATTCTCCTTTATAAGATTTATGTGGAAGATAATTAATAGTTATAGTATATACTAATTGTCTTTTAGGCCATTGCTCCATTTTTCTAGTAACAATAATATTATCTAAAACATTTGATAAAATGCATTTGGTTAACTTTAATTTTAATTTATTTGAGCGTTTTATTATATTTTTTAAATCTTTTCGAAATGGTATTTCCATGCTAGGTGTTTTAATATTTTTCGATGCCATCATTAATATTTCTCGTAATCTAGGTATACCCAAAGTAACATTCATTTCTCCACGACCAGCGAAATGGAAAGTATTCAAAGTCATTTGTGTTGATGGCTCTCCTATTGATTGTGCTGCTAATAAACCTACTGGTTCACCAGGTGGACACACAACTTTCATTACTTTCATAGATAAAAGATCTCTTAAATCTTTCTTCCTTATAATAAAATTTTTAGATTTATTAGTTAAATATTCATCTATTAAATTTTCTAATCGTTCAGAAAGTACACCAAAGTCTATATCTTGTCTATATTTTGACATTACTGGATCAGGACATTTAATACATTCATTGTATATCCATTTTTTATCCTCTTCAGTAGTTCTTATCCATTTTCTCATATATGAAACAGCAGCTTTGCTTCTCCCACTTTGTTTATCAATTTCTTTATATTTTGAATTCTTAATATTCATATTTTCCATTGAAAATCTTGTAAATGGACTAATTCTTTTCTTTTGTAATGCATTTCCGTTTTTATTTTCCCATTTTTTAATTTTTTTTACCAATTTTAAAATTTTATCTGTATCTGAATCTTCTTTTAAATTTTTTATCATTTCTTCATTTATAATCGCATTTTTATTATCTATCAAGAATTTAATTGTTCTTTTTTTAAAAATCGTGAACCTGGTATATCTAGTCCATCTTCTCCATAATAAATCTGTACTAAACTACCATCTGAATCTCGTACTGTTGAATCATAATTAATAACTAATCCTTCAAGATGTTTAATAAGACATCTTTGTAAATATCCTGATCTACTAGTTTTCACAGCAGTATCAATGAGACCTTCACGACCAGCCATGCAATGAAAAAAAAATTCTTGAGGTTTAATTCCTGTCATAAATCTACCATCAATAAAACCACCTGCTCTTGGTGTTGGATCATATGCAGGAAAACTTGGAAGACTTTTTCCACTAATCATTAAAGGTGGTCTTTTCCCTTCTAATTCAATTTGTCCAAGTAAACAAGATATTTGCATAGTATTTACAGTGGAACCTTTTGCACCAGATTGAACCATTAATTGTAAATTATTATCTGGAAATTTTTTCAAAAGACCAGCTGGTAAACATATTTTATTTATATCGTTAGTATAAATATCTAATGCACTTTTGTATTTTCGATCGACTTGAGTGCGAAATTTAGGATCATTCCAATAAGATTCTTCCATTTTAGATGTAACTATATCCATAGGTGTATCATTAGGTAATTCCAACACCGATTTTTGAATATTTTCACCAATTTTCCTACAATTAGAAATAATTTCTTTGCGTTTCTTATCTGCTTTTTTTAATAATAAAATATCTTCAATGCCAAGTGTAAATCCATTTCTTTGTAAAGCTGCTTGAAATAATTTACCAAATGCACTTAATAATTTTGCAGAACATGTTCCTCCATATAATTCAAAAATGCAATGTACAAGACCAAATGGAGTTGCACCATAATGTGTTTTATCAAGTACACCACATAATAGTTCTCCATTTCGTATTATTACTTCAGCTTCTGACATTGTATTGGGATTTGAAAATTCAGTACCACATTTCCAATGTCTTGTTTTTTCAATTTGCCATTGTTTTACATTGATCTTGGCACTTGCTGTTAAATTAATACGTGCTTGATTTGGTGGAATAATATTAATGATAACAGTTGATATAATTTGTTTACCAGACCATAAAGCTATTGGTTTTATAATACTAGGAGGAAGAAGAATTATATTATCCTGTATTGTAGATAAAGCAGCATAAACTAGTTGCATATAATCTTCGCGTGAAAAAAATGTTCCTCTTACTGTTAAACGGACACCAGAAATTATATGATCTTGAATAAGGCCACTTAATGGAGTACCATCTTTAGGTACAAGATATTGATTAGATACATTTGCTATATTGTAACCTTCACTTCTGGCTAGTTCATTTTGAGGATGATGAGCATTGATCTCATCACCATCAAAATCTGCATTATAACTTTTACAATTAGCATAATGTAAACGTAATGTTTTTTCTCCCTTTAAAATACGTGCTTTATGAGCCATAATACTAGGTTTATGCAAAGTTGGTTGACGATTTAATAATAGAATATCTCCATTTTGTAAATGTCTATGTACAATTTTAATGCCTTTAAAAAATTTATTTGCTTTATCACTTGTTGTTAAAAGACGTTTTGCAATAGCCTCTCTTTGAATAGCATCTGAAGTAGAAATACGTTGTATACTTCCATCTTCATTTTCAATCATTACTGCTCCAGGATGAATATTCGGGCCATTCAAAACTAATTGTCTTAATTGTACAACATTCCAAGGTGTAACTGGTGTTGGATATGTTAATTTCAATGCAAAAGCTTCAGGAATACCAATTTCATCTATGTTCAAATTAGGATCTGGAGTAATAACTGACCGAGCAGCAAAATTAACTCTTTTACCCATCATATGCATTCTAATAATTCCCTCTTTTTTTTCTATAACTTGTTTTAGTCCCTGACAATTTGCAGAATCTGCAGTTCTATTCATGTCACGATCCATTAAATGATCTACATTTACTTGCAAATTTTGCCAAGCATTATGCAATTTTTCAATTGCTGTATTACCTTTTATGTGATCATAAACAACTTTTCCCTCTTCTGGTAATTGTTCTGTATCACCATCTTGAATTGTTTGAATGATATTTCGAAGTACAAGACAATCTTGAATGATACTCTTATAAACTTGAGATTGTGGATGTTCTATCATTTGTCCATTAATAAAATTAACTGGTCTTACTATAGGTGGTAGAACTGGTATTACTTCAAAAAAAAATATATCAGTTGGATATTCAATATCTACCATTCCAAAGCAAGGTATAATAATCTTTAAAAAATTTTTTTCATTTTGCCAAAGTTTTCTAAGATAATCTTTAGATTGATCTGGCATTATCATTACAGTTTCTAATTTATGTATTACACCACGTGATTGCATTGTTTCATTAGGTAGATTAGATATTTTAGTTGTCATTATTTTATTTTTTAATGTTGTGATTTTTGATATGGGTTCTTCACAATATACACAAATTTTCGGTGTTGTATATTGTTTAAGAACATTTTCAACACAAGTATGCCATTGTGTATTAATATTTTTGGTGTTTATGTCAGTTTCATTGTATTGTACAAAAGACTGATTAAATCTTTGCTTATTAAAAAGATTTTCAATATAATTGTCAATAACATTTTGAACAGATTGTATATCAACATCATAAGGATTATCTGAATTAAAAACAACAATCATTACTTCTTGTTCTAAACTTTCAAGATCACTGAGATATCCTTGTTGAAGTAATTTCAATTTTGCAGAGAGTAATAATTTCACATAAGATGGAATTTGTAAATTAAAACAATTTAAACATGCTAATTTAATTAACATACATAATCCTTTATGAAATAATGGATTTATAACTGGCATAGGTAATTCTATATGTCCAAAATGACCTGGACATTTGAATACATTGCATCCACATGTTCCACATGGATCTGAACTTTCTAAAAGAGGACCTAAATTAACAAAAATAAATATATATTAATATATTAGTTCTTTCTTTTTTTTTATTATATATATAATATTTGTTGAATTATTTACCTAATGCTGGATCATATAAACCTCCTTTTAGTGGATGCCCCAAAATATTAAATGATAAAGGTGTTCTTATTTTAGCAACACTTAAATTTCTTATATCATTTGCAGTAAACATAGAAAACATTAAACATTTTGGATCTAAATGTTTTGGAGTTAAACGTGGAGTATGATGTTTATGTTGTACCATTTTGATAAATGTATTTTTATCAAAAACCAAATTTATTTTTTTTAAATTTCATAGAAATTTTTTTATTAAAAAAGAGATGTCATCTATATTTCAATACAATAATTTTTCTTAAAAAAAAATGGTGAATTTTAATAATCTATCTATTTTTCACTAATTATATTATATTAATATTATATATTTTTTAAAAAATTTCACCTATATAATTATTTATAAATTATTTATAAATAAGTTATAGATTATAAAATTTTTGTCACATGGTCTATCAATTCATAATACTTAACATATATACAATCAAAAAAATTCCCTACATAGACAAAAAATAAGTTGCATCAATACGACTCGAAAACACTATACAAGAAATAATAATGTTATTTTCACAATTTTTACAAATTTACAAATTATGTATTTGTGTATGTACAGCATAAAATTAATATAAAAGTATTGTTTTGTTAAGTTATCAATATCAATATCATAATTGTTAATCAAATCTAAGTCTTCATTAACAATCTCAATTTATTCATTCCTTATTATTTCTTCTTTTATTTAATATATATGTAAATATATATATATATCGTCATATTCTATAAAGTTATGTTTTCCTCTATTTCTAACATAAGATATATATGTATATATTGAAACATTTATTTGACTGATTCTCGATTTTCGATTCTCGATACATGTATCGATATTTTGTAACTATCGTTTGTAAAAGCAATCTAAAACTATCGTGTGTATATGAGTTTATTTGGAACATCAATGAATATAACGAGTGAATTGAAAGAATTTCAATAAAAAAAGATTTTATACGAAATTATATAAAAACTTTAGAAAATCAATTTAATTCTCATAATGCAATTATAAATATAAGTTTTTTATACTACATAAATAACTGTGATATATAAAAAAGCATTTATTAATATAAATATGTATGTTTATTTTTATATTTATATTAATATTGTCTAATTTTATAATTTTACAAATATGCAAAACATTATTATGTAAACAAAAAACAAAAATTTTTAAATAATATATATTTTGTAATTGCATTGCAAATAGGTTAACTCCACGATTTGAAATAAGTCAAACTGATACAGAAGTTGCAATAATTATTCATGCCCCATATGCCAATATTAAAGATACAGAAGTTTATGTTGATGCAACAGATTTTAGATTTTATTCCACACCATATTATTTAAGGTTAGTATTAATGTTTAATAATTATACATATTTTTTAATAAAATATTTTTATTTCAGGTTAAAATTACCAGGTGAAATAGAAGAAAATGATTCATCATTTGGTTCATATGATTGTGAAAAAGGAGATTTCACCTTAAAATTTACAAAAGTAATAAAAGGAGAATATTTTGAAAATTTAGATATGATAAGTACATTGTTAGCTCCACCAAAGAAGAAAGGTACAATTGTACCTAATATTGAAGTAATTGGAAATCCATCAGCAAATTCTGAAGATATTAATGATATATCAAATGAATCTGATTTTATATCAAATGATGAAAACACTAATGGAGATGAATGGTATATGCATCAGAATAATGTACAAACTGTATCTCTTTTGCCAACTTCTCCTAAATATGGATTTGCAAATAAAATATCTGGAGCATTAGCTGCTTTTGAGGTATTTTTAATAATAAGAATTAAATATATATATATTTATTTATTTTTTTAATTTTAGTCAGCATGGATTAAGGAATAATAGATCTTCCAATGCCAGATACAACACCTCAATCTGAGAGAAAAAAATTACGAGAAAAACGTGAAATTTCAGATTTTAATGAAGAACATTATTTGGCAGATCTTATGCAACCAGATTGTATAGAACCATATATCTCATTTATTACAGAATGGGATACTTTAAAGAAAGAGAATGTTTCTTTCAATGAAACTGAAGTAGATCTATTAAAAGAACTTCCAAATAAAGAATATTTATTAAATAATGAAGAAACACACAAATTGCTTTTAAGTTTAGTGGATATTTTATTTGCTAGCTGTTACAATCACAGAACAACATTGGGAGAAAATACTGTTGAAAGTAGTTGGACTATTAATAAATTAAGTTCTACTTTATCTTGGTTTGATGTATGTAAAATTAAAAAAAAATCTTAATTTTTTTATATATATTATTTTATATATTCATATTTTTAGGATTTTTCTGATTCAGAAGAAGTTATAAAAACATGTTTTAGAAGATCTATATGTTATCCACTTTTTAGAAATTGGAAACTATCAATAAAAATTTTTGAAGATGTAAGAAAAGTAATTAAGTTAGGTAAGTAAAAAATGAATATAGATTTGTATAGATAGATATGTAAATTATTTTTTCTTTTTTATGTCTAATTTTATATCATTAAATTATTAAATTTGTAGGTAAAAAATATATCATAAAACGTTTTTGTGAAATACATAATTTATTTAACAATTCATGTGAACCACGATATATATTAAATCAACTTTATATAAAAGATTATCTGATTTGGTTACAACAAATTAATGAATCTTTGATAGAATCATTAGAATCTCTTATTATATTTTTACCGTCTAAAGAAGATATGCAACTTGATTTAGCAGAATTAGAACAAGCAGCTTATTCTGTGCAAGAAGAAGATCTTATTATAGAGAATTCAATTCATGAAATAATGGATCAAATGGATGAATTAACAGTTAATGACAATAACGAAAATAAGTAAGTGTAATATACAAAATATCTTGTAACTTTTATTTGTAAATTTAAGGCTTTATTGAAAAATTTTATATGTCTCTATGTTATATGATTTTATTTTAAAGGCCAAAGACTATATACTACATTAAAGACAAACATTCTTTAAAGTATTTGTAAGTATTTTATTCGAATTGCTTTGAATATTGATGATTTTATTCCCTAATAAAGCTTTTTCATTTATCTCTCAATAAATGATATAAATATTTGTACATATTATATACATTTTTATCCGAAATATGCTAATGTAATACACTAATTAAAATGCACTTTCCTTTGGTAAATCACATAAATATGTTCAATAAATGTTGAACTGTTAACTTATTATCAATGATATATAGCAGTAACAAATTGTCATACTTGCACATTGCGCATGGATGATATGCACAGTAAAAAACATCTGAAATTACTAGTTTTTCTTTTTTTTTAATAATGAATATATAAATTATGTTTTATATAGATTATCGAGTTCAAGCGACAGCAGCGATACCGATTCTGAAACCGATTCAGAAAGTAGCACTTCGAGTACCACTACCACAAGCAATAGTAATAGTTTAGATTCAGATGATGTAAGTGAATCAGAAGAAATTGTAAATGAGTGTACTTAACATCAAATACCATGTAAAATATTATTATATGTCTATCTTAAATGATCTGTTACAAAAATCTTTGTAAAAATAATGTTTTTGAATGTTTTTATCTTACTTATAATATATAAGTAAAATTTAAAAATTTTATAATTCTATATCTTTTATGTCTTCATAAAAATATTTATACGTAAAATTCTTTATAAGATATAAATAACTTCGTTTCGTCTCTACTTTATAATTATTATGTAGTTATCTGTAGTTATCTGTATAGACATGTACAGTATATATATTATTTATGCAGTATTTGTGTAAGTGTGATTGACTTATTAAAGAATATAATAAATCCATGTTAATAATTTATTGTAATGTTCGATTAATCTTCGTTGTATAAAATCATCTAAATCATCGTTGTTTTTAATATTCGTATCTGAATCAATTATATTGTTTGGTCTTAATAAGGTGCTTTCATTATCAAAAGTATTACTAACATTATTTTCGGTATCCTCTCCCTAGAATATTTTTAAAAAATTTATTAATTGTAAATGAAAACTATCAATAAAAAGTATATATGTAGATTAAATTTTCGAGTTACCGTAACATAATCATAATCTGTAAATTCAATATTTTCATTTTTATTATTGAATTCATCGTCGTCAATAGTTTGCCAATAATCTGCGATTTCTCCATATATTCCTGGACTTTCATTTACGCTACTTATATATTCAGTTAATTTTTTATCATCTAACATCATTGAATCTGACGTTTTCAATACTGTTGGCTTATCGTTTTTAAAATTAAAAAAAGTCTAATGTATCATTAGAAGAAATTTATTATATATATTTTATTATCCATACTGTACCTTTTGATTAGAAGTTGAAATCTTATTATTAAAATGATCATGATAATCAGAACTTCCTGTTTTCAAAACTAAATGGGTATATTTTTTGAATGTTCCATTTTCTTCATGCAAATGCGGAGCGTACAATATGATACGTAAAGGTAAACTTTCGTCTTTTTGAATTTGTAACTCTTTGTATTTAGTACTTTTATTTACTATTTAGTGAAAAATAAACATTTATTAAAAAAAATAAATTTTGCATATTTATATATTTTAATATGCAAAAAATATTTTTTAATCAATATATTAATATTTGATATTTAATAAAGTACCTTCTTGTTTCTCTATTTTTGTATCTTTTAATATATTTTCCGATTCAATTTGATGTTCTTCAAGATGTTTTGATAAATCAGTATTTAAATCGTTTGTTATGGGATACGAATGATTATTTCCATTTATATGTTTATTTGAAAAACTGCAATCTTGTGTTTCTTTATAGGCTTCTGTCGTTTCGAAGTTTGATATTATATGTGTAGTTGATATCTGAGTTTGTTTTTGTTCATACGATATTTCAGAAGTTATTTCAATATTCTTATCTGTTAAAAAATTGTTTTTTCCTACATTGTCATTTTTTTTCATATTTTCTGAAATTTCTGTAGTTTGAATTATTGGCACTTTAGTTGTGATATCATAAGTTGTAATTTTATAATTATTTGTATTGAAAGGAATGACGGTGCCCGTGTATTTATCATTCTCAATTCTTTTTGATTCTTCGACAGACATAGTTACGTCAGCAAATACTTCTGGTCGTATATCAAGATTTTTTATTTTTGTTTTTTCTGAATTTATACTTTTTAAAAGATAATCTCTATAATCTGTCGACTCGCGTACTGTTGACGATTGTTCCTATCCATCAATAAACAAATATATAAGATTTTCTTAAATATATTTATATATAATTAAATTAAAAATTAATTAAAAATATGTATATACATTATAGAGATAGATATGTTTAAATTTTGCTTACATAACAAGGACCACACGGATCATCTTTATATGTAGAAAGTATGGCTGCTTTAACATAAGGAAAATATAGTATACTCCAAGGTACTATAATCTGATAAGTTATTTTTCCGCAACTGTGATAACAACAATTCACATTTTAATAAAACCATAAATATCATATAAATAGAAAGTAAAGTATATAATTATTTTATAAGAGAAAAAATAGACTTTTCTTTCTATATAAAATTGTGTTAAATATAATAAAACTTACTATACTTGTAAATTAATTATATTTCACGATTCAAATAACAATTTGAATTAAATGATTAAATGCTCACCGATCAATAATTATTACTTCATCTTTCGAAGCACGAAAACTTTTCCAAATACCCAGTTCGAAAGTATCTTGAAGAAAAATAATGCCTTTCTTTTCTTTTGCAACATCACTAAATGTCGTTTTATCCAAGCTCAAAAAGTGTTCGGATTCCTGTATATTTTTAGATATTTCCAACCACGCTTTTATCTCCATACTATTCTCCGTGTCATCTTCCGGCAAATCTGACGGCCGCGCAACCATGAAGAGCAAAATATTTGAAAATCCAGACTTTTCTAATTGCTTCTTTAATAATTCCAACCTTGTATCAAATGATTTTTTATAGATATCATATCAAAAAATATTATTTTCTATTCTAATATCAAATTATTTTTTATCTGTTTTAATTATTTCTCTCTTTCTTTCTCTTATAAGTATTTAAAGTAATTTGAGTTCACAGAAACGTAAAAAAATAAAAATAACAAAAGTTATTAGATTAAAACTTGTTGAGTAAATATTAATAAGTAGCATTTTATAAATTATGTTCCACATAAAAAATGTAAATATTTAATTGTTACTAAATCAAAAATATTGATCATTACTTTAACGACTTACATGACAGCTTGCCTATAACTATAATTCCACGAGGGATCCAAAAACGCGAACACGTTAACATGCCCCAATTGATCTTTTCGTAAATTCGTGGCACGGCATTGCTCGATATATCCTCGATTCTCTTGGGGTTCCTTCGATTGTCGGAAATGACGAAAAACATCGAGCAATCGCGGCATCCTTTCGTAATCCTTCCCGTAAATCCCGCAATTTCCAATTATTATCATCATCGTTATTATCATCGTTGTTACAATCGTGATTACAATCGAAATCGACATAATTTCGTTCACTTTCTCCGATAGAATCGTTAGCGAATCAAAAATCAGTTGGAGAAATGATCGTTCTATCGGCGGCTAAATATAAAATTTTGTTTGCATGAGCAACAAAATATCGATAATTATTTCGTAACACTTTGAGATCCGTGTAAACAACGTAAAATTGTTAACCGGCAATCGTCAAACTTGGCACGTCACGCCGATCTTTGGAAGATGTGATTTGTTATCCGAGTATGGGGGCCGATAAATCGTGAAAAATCGTGACAATTAAGATGTGAAAATACCGAGAATTCTAAATCATTGTGCGATCATTGACGGTCGATGTGTGCGCGTGGCTTCTCGCGATATTATTAGCCAGAAAAATTAATTTACGTAGCATTGATGCGATATGTATGCGGGTCACACGGAAACTGTAAGCCTTTTTCTGACCTCACATGCTGCTGCCGCGTACCACTGTTCAACATTTCTCCTACACGTGACATAAACATGACACCCTTCCTCAAACATTATCATAGATACATGGACACTGATTTGTATAAAAAACAGACTGATAATTTTATTCAATATTTAAATTTACAATGATACATAAAAACATTTGTCCACCTCTGTATCTATTAACAATATTTATTAATTAATTAGTTTATATATTGTATTGTATATTGTATATTGTATCCGCAGTACTTTCATATATTTATAAAAATTTAGTATATTACGAAAATGAATTATTGAACTTGATTAAGAAAACGTTTTATATTTTTACCTAATATATCTTATCTTCCGTAAGAAATTATTTTAAATTACCCTTTCTATTTTTTTGGCCTATCAATTATTTTTGTTAAAAGGAAAATTATTAAAATGATCGACGTTAAAAAATGTAAAGCACTTAAAAAATACAATATGATTTATAATTATTCACAGAGCAGAGAAACTTTGTGTCGAATTTATAAAATTGCAATCAATAGCATTCACAGTATTCAGTATTTAATTCACTATCGTGATCTATTTTCTAATTTTTTCATTATTTACATTAATATTTTCAGTGTGAAACTGGTATGTGAGTCAATTCAATTGAATTTGTTAATAAATCAGTCGAGATCGGTAGATGTGAGAGTGTGAACACGTGTGCATAGTACAAGTTGAACAGAGAGTCCCTTGTTCTCAACTTTTCAAAGCTCGGACACGATTTAGACAGTTTACACGATATTCCTCGAAGCAGTAGCAGTACAGTTCAAAGTACCGACAGTCGATCTTTCGATCTTTTCATACAGTGTATTTTGTCAATAATAAAATTAATAATAAAAACGAAATGTAAAATAGCAACTTTTCCATTGTGTTTCGTACAATTTTTTGTATTTGACGCATTTTCATTCGTTATAAGTCCCGTGCCATTACGATTAACATTTAATACATTAAGAAAAAAATATATTTTTATGATATGTGCAAACGTCGAAGGAAAAGACTGTACAGAAAAATTAAGAGTAAGTTTAAAATATTATTGACGTGAAAAAAATTTGATATTTTGGAACTGAAACATATTTGTGAAACATGTCTCGAAAGTATCGGCAAATATAAATCCTACATTACGTGACGAGTTTTATATGAACGTTAATTGCAAACATGATCAGTTCAATCGCGAGAATGTATACGTTAATTTGCCTGTTGATATATTTATTGACTACGATTGCATTTTTCGATGGAATTAACCGACTCGATAAGTTGAAAGAAACGTATTTCGAAGTGTCTGAAGAGAATGAATGGACATCACTTCGTAGCTTCATTGACAAAAGAAGCGTAGATCGGCATAAATTAAATGCCAGCTTGGAGAACGTTGAGAATAAATTCAGGAAAAAAGCTGACACTTTATCGCGTATTTTAAAAACTCACATCGATCTTTTAAGGAACGAAACTGATGAGGTAATACTTTTTAATAGAACATTAAATTCATAAAGCTTTGGTCTTTACAAATTGAGAATAAATAAATAAATTTTGTATATTTTTATTAATCAAAAATTATATATATATAAGTAAAAATTTAATTAATTCTCAATATTATATTAAATATTGACTTGAATATTAATATTTCAACATTTTTTTTCATGATATTATTATTATATTTTCACACAATGAAGATTATTTTTAATTTAATTTGAAATTTTCCCTAGGTGGAATTAGTGTTTTTGGTTGATTCTTCAGGATCAGTTGGATCAAAGAATTTCCACAGTGAATTGAGTTTCGTAAAACATGTTTTATCTGATTTTCCTGTGATTCCTTCTGCGACGCGAATCGCGATCGTGACGTTTGGTGGAAGAAGACACAT